TAAGGACTTTCTTATATCTTTTCTAGGTCACCAAGAAATAATTTAATATGTCTTAAAGAAATATTTACCAAAAAAAAATTTAAGAATTCAACTTGAATCTAGAATTATTTTTATATAATTATTCTTATATATATATATATATATATATATATATATATATGTGTATATATATTTTCTGAATTATCTTCTATAATATAGAATGCATAAGAATCATTTCAATAATAAAATAATTAAAAAATTATTATTAATTTTTTAAAATTATAGAATCACTTTTAAGATTTTTATAGTCATATTCCTACTTTGTGTATCAAATCATGCATAGTATCTTTAAAATCTATAGTAATAACACCAACAATTAGCAATCACAAATCACATCTTTGTTAAATTTTAATGTTCACAATAATCAAAGTTTCTTCTTTAAATATAGAGCCTAATCCATTATAGATTTTATTGAATGTAATAACAAGCAAACAAAATCTTAGTGGTTGGTATTTTTTATCCTATGTACTTAAGTGGATCTTAACTTGTTATCATTAATCTTTTATTATTTTAACCTTATATATATATATATATATATATATATAAAGCTTTGTCATATATATACATGTATATATATATATATATATATATATATATTAGTAATAGAGACTTTTATTTTAGAATTTATTTATTAAATCAGAATATTGATGTGAAACATTAATTTTTTATTACAAAAAAATATCTATCAATATACAAAAATTAAATTTTATATGAAAAAATTTTAGTAAGATTTTTTTTAAGAGCTTATCTAATATGGATTTAAAATTTTATATTTTAACAACAAGTTCAAATGACTATTTATTTGAATTTGATATTAATTATTATTATTTTTTAATTATTATTATTTTGGCTTTTATATGCGTCATTAATAAAAATATATATATATATTATTTTTATTGTATTTTTTCATTTGATAATATTATATTTTATTGTGTTTTAATACTATAATCAGCAACAATTATTAATGCTTGTGCTTCTGCCTGTAATTGCAACAAATGGTGTCCAGTGATGGCAATCAAATTTCAAATTCATAGATAGAATATTAATATAATCATATATCAATTTTTTTCTAATTCAAAAAATATGTTTTAGTCAATCAAAAGTTATAAATATATCAAAAATCATAATAAATTTTATCTAAATTAAATAAAAGCTTTAAAATTTTCTTAGATTTAAAGCTATTAGGTTTTATACAAAGAAATTTTATATTAATTTTTAATTTTATTATATTTTATTTATTAAAATATAAATATATAAAATATTCTTGATAGTCATATGACACTATATAAGCTTTCAGAAGATTATAGAAGGTTTTAGAAGGTTCTAGAAATTTCTAAAGTGTAATAAAAATTACTATAAATATTATAAAAGTTTTTTAAAGTAATAAAAGGACTTTAAGACCAAAAAATATTTTTATGTCTATAAAGTAAAGGTAATTTGTAAATCATAGTAAAGAAATACTTTTACAAATTTCTTTACTTGAAAATTTATATACTTTATTATTATTATTATTATTATTATTAGATATATCTATAGGATATCATCAATGCCACCTTAATATTTTTAGTATCACTACAACTTGCCATGTGTTTGATATATTTCTTTATTTTATTTTATTTTATTCTTTTATTTTAATAAAAAAATATTTAATCAAATGGTTTGAAATATATTAAACAAAGGTTGAATTTGCTAGATAGAGGATTGTGGTGGTTGTAACAAAAATTGTGGTAGTAGTAGCAACATCCTATATATAATGACTATATTTTTATATATTTTTTAAATATGTATATATATATATATATATATATTAGTAATTAAGACAAGGTCTTAAAATAAACATTATTTTTTTAATAAGATAAATAATTAAACAAATCAAAGGCAATTTATTTTATAATTATGTTTTGAAAATATTCTTTGTTAAGAATATTTTCAGATGATTCGATTCTTACTTTCTACACATATTTATGTATATGATCTTCAATAACTTTTTAAGAAAACATTTTAACCATAAATTTTGAGATCCGTAATATATTTTTGGTAGTTTTTTTACTAACTTAGATGTTTTATGTTTTAGTTTAAAAATATAGTTAATAGTTATTTGTTACTATTTGTATTTACTGTGATATGTCTAAAATACTCATGTATAATAAAAACTTGTGATTATTGGTGTCACTGATGGATTTATCAAAACAAACCAAGATAATTTCTTATGCTTAATAATAAAAATATTAAAGGTTCTAAATATAGTAAATTCAACATATTGTGTTTTTAAATACAAGCAGAGAGATGACCATGTACATTACTGCCCCTAAAATAAAGTACTCAATTTAGTTGATTATTCAAGAAAATTTGAGTTTCTTGGATAATTTTTAATGTGTCAAAGCCAGGCACTGAAGATTATAACAACAATAAATCATGTTATTATTATTGTACCAAAACAATATGCCAATATAATTTTAAATTTTATGTTATCAATAAATTTTTAATAGTTATTTTTAAAAAATTATAAAAAAAAAAAGTTCAATAATACTAGATGTATGGGTTTAATAGAATCATTGTTACCAAATTGGGAAGACAAAACAATTCTGGGAAACATTGAGCTCAATGGTATTGATATGTGGTCTTTTTGTAAAATCACAATACTGACTTACAAAAGATAATAACAATTACAATCTGTCTTTACAATAAATTTCCTGTAGAAAATTCTCTATGTATCTTAGCCAGTAATATGAATATTACTAAAGAAAGATAAAAAGAAGAGCTCTATGATGTTGGCAAAATATTCATTAAATATAGTTTCAAGTATTTTAAATTAATCCAAGATAAATTGTGCCATTTTTTATTTTTTATTTTTAAAATCTAAACTGTTTTGTGTATTCGATTTGGTGTATAACAAACAAGTTCTTAAAAAAAAAAACCAGAGTTTTCAAAGTAAAGTAGTTGTTTCTCCATTTCATAAATAAGAAAATTCGTACATCATGCAGTCAATTATACATAAAAACAGAAAAATTGTCATTCAAATTTTTTCTACATTTCTTAAAACTTGAGAAACGATAATAAAATTAATTGTTAAAAAGAAAAACGCTGAAAACACTTCAACAAATTATGTTTTGTAGGTTCAATTATGATACGTACAGATTTGAATGACTTTCATTCAGATCTTTGTATTCCATTTAGACTTAACAGTATGAAAACTACTTGTGCTATTACACAATTCCAATTTCAAATCGTCACCCCAGCTCATCAATTGAAGGGGAAAACGTTGCTCCAGGACCAACACTGCAAGCAAAACCCTAAAACTAAACACAAGCAGTTTTAGGATTTCAAACTGTGGTCTAGAAGGGAGCAGTGGCGTGTGGATCTCAGAGATGAAAGGAAGAATGTGCCTATGTGCCGAATCACACTCTTCACTATCTCTTGCGAGAAATGGTGGCACGTCGTACCCAATTGTGACAAAATTTAAAGCTGTATTCGGAAATGTTTGTAGTCAATGCACTTATAAGGGTGTCATCTACCAGGTTTGAATAAATGATCACTTCACCCATCTGACTGGGACAGCATTCTAGAGTAGAATAATGCCATTTCTGTAGTAAGCTTGCAAAATCTGTGAGGATGAAGCGGAAAACGAGTGAAAAATGTGGAGTTTTTCTTCGTAGCAGGGCCCAGTTCATAAAGTTTTTTCAAGCAGTGAGACTGAACTCTATCACTTTGTTAGAGCATCTACATGACAACAAATTCCACAAGGGGTTGATTGGTAACACAATAACGTGAGTTTAAGTGTTCTTATCTCCTCTTTCAACGCAGGATCAAATACATCAATGCAGGTTTTCAGTAAACAAATCAGACGCGTAATCAGCCCTCAGGCTGTGAATTAAGTTGGGCTTCAACCAATGGCCCGCAACATATTGTAAATCAAACTTGTGCAACTTTGAGCTTAACCTGAGGCTCTACCTATGGGATCTACAAAACCCAGAGATGGTACTTGATCAATCAAATGTAGGAAAAGTACAAGCAAGGATGAGGTTGGTGGCAACATCCAAACCAATGTCTTGCATTGTTGAACTGTCCCTCTACCCACATGACACTGCAGTGCTGGACAAATGGTTCACTATAGTAATAAAATCGCTCCTCAGGCGCATCCCATATAGCTTTACCATGCACAAAAACACAACAAGGATGACTAATACCCAAGCTCTCGTTCTGTTTGATGTTTCCATCGACAACTGATTGCTCATGCGGAGAAGGATAATTCAGAGATCACAAGCTTCTGTTGCATTGTACATGCCCTTGGTTCTTTAAGTGTTTCTTAATGAGCCTAATGAGTCCACCTCTATCCTCCTGTTCGATGTTATCGTTTTTTGGGTGCATTAAGAGGTTTTGCAGTTACAGGTTGTGCCATTGAAGAGACGGCATGCTGTTCTGTGAAGGGGATGTTCTGTTTGGGAGGAGGTCAACGCGGGTGCTACTCTGACATCCACACTTTGGGGGCTTCAGCTGTGAAATGTTGAAATTGATTGTTTCACGGTCACGAGGTTCACTTAGTATGCCCTTAAAAACAACGTTGGCACAGATGGCAGCTTGCAGAAAACCAGAACTGACTGACTTGGATTTTGCATGATCTGGATTATCGCGGTGTGGTGGGACCACTTTGCAATTGCCGAGGAACTCCATGACCCAGCACGCTAGGAGACAAAGCCGGCACTGACGAAGAATCTCGTTGTCAGGTGCGAGTGCAGCGGAAACACTAGTAGGTAGCAGTGTTGCTGAAGTGACCTAATTCAGAAGCATCGTGTTGCAGATTGGATTAACCAGGCTAGATCATCCGCAGCTTGCAAGCTCCTCACAAGAGATTTTTTACTCATTCAGCTGCGGAACGATGAGGCGTGATGCCAACAACACTCAGATCTGCAAATCTTGACCAGAAGAAGTGGTTTTCGAAAGGTACTATTGTAAGCAAACACTGAAGTACTGGTTGAACCCAGTTGAAGCATGTCTTGGAAAAAGTGCTAAAATAGCCGGATTTCTTTACAAAACGAGAGCTCAAACACTTCTTAGCATCTAAATTGCTGCAAAGCCACAGGATGAGCTCCACATAGTCTTTGGATTCGGGACTTGAGTTATATAATATCCTTCTGTCATCATCTACAAACGTCCAAAAAGACAAACTACAACACAATCTTCGCTACCACTGTCAAACGGTCAGGAACATGGTAGACTAGGATGGTGGCCTCTCCAGCGCATGCAGAGAGACCTCAAATGCAAGCTTAAAAGCTTGTGAGAAGACGAGTACACGCCATTGTAAATTTGAAAGATGAAATGAAAGCTCACATTTACCTTCAGAATCTCCTCTCTGGATCATGGCAATGTAAAAAGTGAAATTATGTGAAGAGGTTTGACCAATGAAGGGGGTTTTGTATACTCGCTGTTCAGAAATCATTCATACTCTACTCGAGTGTGTCCATCTCACCAGGCTTCTCTTGAGTCACGGCCTGCTGAGATAATGCTCCTTGTAGATCCTAGGACTCTTCCTTCGAAATTGAGTGGGAAACAGTCTCCTTAGAGCGTCCCGAGGAGTTTGGCTGCAGCTTATATAATCCTAACGGGTTAACAGAGTCCCTGCGAATCTTCTGCGTTTTGAATGACCCAAGAGCTGTGTGAGTATAACCGTACTTCTCAAGCACCTGATTGTCTGCAAAATTGAAGGCACGCTCCATCTGTTTGAAACATTCGGCATTCTCTGGAGTCGCTCCTAGCTTGCAGGGCTTGCACCCTACAAAGTGGGTGACAAAAGGCCACCGATCGTCTCCATACCCAGGGTGATTCTTAGACATCATTTCTTCGTAGTTATACACCACATACTTCCAATAACCATGTAATAAAAACTCCCACTCAATGTATGTATTCGCCTTCCATTTGGGATCACCGAACAGGATAAGATAAACAAGGGCGGATTGGTCATCAGCCTCAAACACTGGTCGATCAACAAGCTTCGCAGTCAATAATTTTCCTGCAAAAAACGCACAAATGAAAATCAGAAGTCCGTGTAAGTGGATGTGGCAAAGAAAAAATTTAGCCATTAGCTAATTGGCTCAATGGCGGCGGCTGCACTAACAGACGCTACATGCTTCAACATATGATTTAAGAATTGGCATACTGAAACGATTTCAGAGAGAGATGAAGTATACTGGGTTAATTCGGTCTCCATGGAAGAACAACATTGAGAAACAATCGCTTCTAAACATAGCAAAACGACAGAGAAGATTGATTCTGACTATGACTGCACACCTTAGAAGCACCCATCCGTCAAGAATGCACATGACTATTGAGCAGAATAATATCGGCACCAGAAAAATATTGCTTCTAAGGACAAAATGCTCACATAATCTGGGCACTAAACCAAGTGTTACCACTAACACCTAATTTACGAAACAGGAAGAAAGGAAGCAACAAATTTAGAAAACAACTACTTCAGGTCAGAAGTAAGCACACACGGTTTTCACAGGCTTCAATGAAGTTCCTGGCTAAAGTATGGAAAAGGAGCCACAGCCAGGAGCTGCAGACAGAACAGGAGCCGACATTCAAACCGCGAAAGCACCAGAGAATGAAGAAGAGAAAACAAACCAAAACTACTAAACCGAACCTGCTTCAACTCTAGTGGGTCCTTCCGGTCCAAAGGGGGCCAACACATCGAGCAAATCCAACGACCACTGACAGTTTCTGAGGAAGAAACTGCCCGTATTCAAACCTATCCACCGCTGCTGCTCAAACAGCAGATTATGAAACCCGTGCACGATCAAGTTGCTCTTTCCGTACTTTTCCATGGGCATCTCGAAGGTCATGTCTGTGAAGATGGCATCGCTGTCCATCCACCATATCCACTCCACATCAGGGTGGTTCAACATCATCTTTCTCAAAAGCGGGAGCTTAGCCCAGAAAGAGCTCATTTCCTTCTCGAAAGTGGCCATGTTGTAGAAAAACTCGAGATCATGCAGACGAGCGTAATCAATCCTATTCTTCAAAAACTTCAGGTGGTAGAAGTCACCCATTGGGTTAGCGCAAGGGCTAGGCTGCGACCCCGAGACGAGCAGCATCTTGGGCCGGCCACTGACCGTCTTGTTCATGCCTGGATTCTGCGCGTTCCAAGTCTCCCGCTGTGAGTCCCAATCAGTGATTTTCTGGCCCAGGGTGTAAGGCGAAACCCCATCCCATTCTTCCTCTTTCACAAACTTGCTGGCAGTCACCTCATCGGGAATGGCTTCCTCTACCTGTGCTAGCACCCGCTCTCTCTGTGACATGATGATCTGCTCTCTCAAATCAATAACCTGCGGGCTGCTACCCCAGGTGAGCCCACCGGGACCCAACGTACCGCGAAGCACTAGAATAGTAATGAACCCGCACAGAATAGTGATCTTGAACGTGTTCACTGTCTTCACCACTTTGCGACCCTTGGGAGTGGTCAGAAAGCGGCTGGGATGATACGTGTGCAGTGCGGCCTTCATCTGGTCTTGCGACACTTGCCGCAGGAATGCGCCGTCCTTTATGTGACGAAACATTGTGCCCTGCGATGTTCAACGCACTGCGTAGGTCGTCACTCGCTGGAAGCTGCTCATAAACAGACCATCGTCTACAGGCCTTAAACCCTGCTCTAAAACAAGCTGCTTCACTCCAACGCTACAGCACAAACAATCTTAACAAAGCGCTGAACAATGCCGGATGGAATTGCAACACCAAAACTACTCCCATGGCAGCGTACACAAACCATCAGCTGGCCCCAGAGAACCAGCCAGACACGTCAGGGAAGTAGACACGGACAACACAGCACACAATGTACGACAGCTATGTCCTTGACTCTAGACACTATCGACAGTAACAATTGCTCAGATACCTCTCAAGTAAAGGAAATCATCCCTTGTGCATCAGACCAATCTTAGCAATTATCCACCCAAAACCAGTCCACTCACTCGACCATTCTAGGCTCCCGCATACACAGCCACGAAACCCACCCCTCGCAAGAACCTCTAACCCAATAGCACCACACAACGCGATACAATGCAAGTGTGAACTCCCCACAACGAGAGCATACCACCAAAGATCCAGAATGCACCGCAACCGAGAGCGTAGACTTCCAAAAAAAACAAAGAAGAAGAACCAGCTCCACCCCCTTTCGCAGCGACCAGCGGAGTCACAGTCGACTGTGGACAAGCCGTCGACAGTTTCTCCACCGAGCACTGTTTAAACCCACAACCCACGTTTGCTGGTCACAGACAGATTGCGCTGTACCCCGATCCCACGTCTGCAGGATCTCCACCGCATTATATATATATATATATATATATATATATATATATCTTATAAAACTAAAGATATATCTTTCTCTATACATAGGTAGATAGAGAAATCAAACACCGTGCGACCAGGGTTGACACTGAGAAACCCACATGAAGTTGCATTCGAAGGGGTCAGAGTGAGCTTGATTTTTGTTCCTCCCTGCCACCTCCAGATCTCTAGCAATGACACACACACACACTACTACAGACAGACACTCACTCACTCACAAGCACGCCCGCACGCCCGCACGCCCACACTGCCGTCAATCTCTGCAGGAAAAACGAAGACAGTGAGTCTGCGTCGCTGCATCTGCCCAGTTTTTTTATTGGCCAAAATTAAAATTAAGTAACTTCTAGATTTCATCCAATCATATGATTTGAAAAATTCTTGCTTCTCTCTTTCTCCCTGAAGTATAAAGACATCTTAAGTAGGTATTATTAACTATTATTAATTTCGTATAGTGTAATATTATAAGAATTTATTTTATTTTATTTTATGTCTACTAAATTTTTATATCTATTCTCATTCTATATTTTTAACCATTTGTAATTTTTATTGCATAGTTCAATTACTGATCGTCACTTATCAAATTGTCATGTGTTTTTTTCAAAGTAGCTTTTTATAATATTTTATTATATTCAATTAGATCTTATTTCAAATTTGTCTTCTAATTTGTGAATCTTTGGATACCACATTTTCAAAAATAGAGATGCTATATTGAAAATATATTGTCCAAATACAAATCCCTTCTATATATATATATATATATATATATATATATATTTTAAATTATACCAAATTTATTAACTCTACTTACAATAATATATTATCAACACATAGGATATTTAAAATTTATTCTTGCATATGAATAAGTAGAATAGTACTTATCACTAAATTTTATCCATTCTTAAAATCAAAGATTAAATATATCATATATATATATATATATATATATATATATATGCACATTGTAGTATTTTAGTAGTTAAATAGAACTACTATCTATGTTTGTGAATAAAAAAATAAGGATCCTATCACAATAATATGTTCTATGTTTTATAGAAATAATTTAGAGGTTTTATATTAATAAACTTAACTATCTTAGCATATATTTTTCTACTTCTATTCTTGTTTTTGGACCTCACTACTTACTTTTGGTTTGTTATAAGGACCCATTTAAAATCTGGTTATAACTTTCTTAGTACTATTAATTTTACTAACATCATCTTATGTCAAATAATTTATTATAAGTTGAAACTCCTTGTGTAAGACTTTGTCCATATATTTAGTCAGTAGAACTTTTATTACTTTTCTAAGGCAAATAATTCTTAATCCTTATTTAATTCAATATTTATTGCAAATTTATTAAATAAATTTAAATCTAGTTAAATATTCTGTACTTTCTTTTAACAACTTCTTTTCTATAGTTTTAATTTTTTTAATGGCTTACAAAGTACCTCCTTATCTGGAAGTTAGAAAAATACATAAAAGATAAAAATATAATATTAAAAATATGGCAATATCAAGTTATTGTAGATACCAAAAAATTAATTATATATATTTTTACATTTATATGTCTTTAATAATAAGTCAAATAGATTGTTTAATAAATTAGTAAATATATTTTTAGTTTATTATATATAATTAAATTAATTAGTTTATTTTGGTCCTAAAAGTTCTTATATATCATTAAGCTGATTTTTTTAATTATTTTATTCTTATAAGATCTTTACATATGATTTTTTTTGTCTCCACATCTAAGCTAGATGGTCCAATTTTTTTGACCTCATTGCTCTATTCTTCTAGAAATAATCTTATATACATAAAAAATTAATTCTTGTATATTATTTATTTTAGCTTAATTCTTGTTAGAGGATTGTGCTAATCTTATTAGGTTAGTTTTTCAAAAATCTTGGTTATTACTATTGAACATCAATTACTTAGACTTGAGAATAGAACTTATATGTGTTATTCAAGTAATAATCTCTATGTAACATGCTCTAGCCAAAAGATATTTTGTTGTTATTAATGCAATATCCATAGTATTTTATTTACACCTAATTCTTTCGGCATAGATCCCATTTTGTTTTTTGAGTAGTTATAGTAGTTTCTTCTACATAATTTTTTAATTATTAAGTTATTAAGTTAAGAAAAGAATAATTTGTTTATTCCTTATATGTTTTTATAACTCTTGCTCTTTATAACTTCTTGTACACAAAATGCATAAGATTTCATAAAAGACTATGTATCTAATTTTAATATAATATCAATATTTATTTATTTATTTATTTATTATATATCTAATCAACTTCTAAGCTATTTTAATCAAATTTTTGATAATGAAAAATCACTTGCAATATAAAAATCTATGGTCAAAGATGGCCTAGCCAAATATCTTATTACTTATTAAAGTGCATCACCTTCAAAAATTTGCAAACTAATAACTTACATTCAAGCATGGTTTTTCCCTACAACAAAATAATATATTCAACAATTTATATCATGAAATTCAATAAACTAAAAAATCAAAAATCAAAACTTCTAGGGATTGATTTATAGGCTTATATACCTATTCCTAGTATCTCTTGCTTTGATTAAAAAAATATATGTTGAAAAAGTTACCAAAGCATAACAAATTATAATAAAATCATAAGTCATAATAAAAAAAATTATTTCCAAGAGTTTTACAAGAAAATTCTGCTCATACAATATTATACCAAATAAATAATCAAAATTATTATTTTTTAAAAAATAAAAAATATGTATTTATATATATATATTAATATAAATATATATATATATTATATTTATATATTATATATTTATATTATATATTTATATAGAAAATAAAAAATAAAAAATCTTGTAGTTTTGATATTATAGAATGCTTATAATTTTTAAGATTTTCTTTCATTTATCATATATTTAATTTATTAATTTTTAATAATGTATAAATTATTTTAATATTTTAATTAATTTTTTACCTATTATATTATACCATTGTAAAGGTAATTAATTCTTCTTGAGTTTTTAATATAAATCAAACTTAATACTTTATTTTTATTTCATTTTAAGAGTAAAAAATTCATAAAATAAAAAATAAGTATTTTTTGAAAATTTGCTATTTTAATTCTAAACTTAAATATTTAATTATGTGTATATATATAATTTAGAATATAATTTTTTTACTTAATTACACAAAACTATTACATCCAAAATAAATTATTCTTTTATATAAATACTTGATTTTTTGAAAAACCATACAAAAATTATATCTAAAATTTCATCCAATAAGGCAAAAAAATCAATAAAAAAATAAGATATATTCTTTATTTTAATTCTTATCAATTTGATTAAAATTAAAAAATTAAAAAATTAAAAAAGTCGTTATAATTGAGGGACAAAGTGCAAAACAACAACTTCTAAATCTTTTGATTGGTTACAATCAAGAAACTTTAAGGTTTCAACCAATCAAAAAATATAAGAATTGTAACCTTCTCACCTTCTCCTCACGCTCTATAGTTTTGACCTTTTCACCTTCTTTTCTCCAAACTACGAATCAAATGATTCAGAGGCTGTGACCTTCTCATCTTCTCCCCACACCATATATATTAAAGGATTTAAAAACTGTGACCTCACCATCTCTCCAAACTATAGATCAAAGGATTTAAAAGTTGTGACCTTCTCGCTTTCTTTTCCTCAAACTATTGATCAAAGGATTTGAAAGTTGTGACCTTTTCACGTTCGTTTTTTCCAGACTATAAAGACCTCCATCCAGAGTCCACTCATTGCTTTCATGTTGCGCGTGTCCACTGACACCACATGACCAAGACCTGCAGATAAGCTCGGCCCGATCTGCACCTGCAATTCTCACTCACACCCTCCGGTCGGTGTCGTCGAATCAGACACTCGCAGATCTACATGTTCGGAACGCTTCTACAGTTTCGTACTTGTCTATTATGGCCAACATGTGCTCTCTGTAGGTGATTAAGATACCTCCGTATCTATACAGCGCTTGGAAACCTTGCTCCCCTTGTTTTCCACAGCTTTGCTGTGCGGTATCACCACTGGCGATGTCTAGGTTGTCATTTGTTTTCACTGCAAGAAGGGGACGTGACGAATGGCCATCCCGCGTCCTCGTCAATGAAAGTGGCTCTCCCAGTGTCAAAACCTCTTCATGGTTGCTGTCTGATGATACCTCCCAACCGCTTGATCTCACGTTCACGTCACCGAAGCTCCTGTAAACTCCGTTGCCTTGTCCAGAACAAACGAATTCGTCAACAGAATGTGCAAATTCCTTCGACCATGTCTGATTCTCCAAAAGCATTTGTCGTGAATCTTTTAAGGCATTCGTTGCCTGAAATTGAGATCAGTACTTCTTGCGACTGCGGTGGAAGAAACGACGCGCACATCACAATGGTTACGAAATCCGCTACGCTGTAAACTTCGAGAGGCATTGGCAGGTTGTGAATGGATTGCTGTGCTGCCACTCCAAAAAAACTTCAGTGAAGAAACATCGTGCAACAGTTTCAGGCTGTGTTTCGACATTTTCTACTGATTTTTTCCACGAAAAATTCGTGGCAATCGTGGATGCAACGCCAGGGGATTTCTCGATGTCCTCTGAATGATTGTTATTGGCGATGTGCTCTGAACGTTGCTACTTCCAGTTCTAACTGAAGCTTTCGCCCTTCAAATATATCTGACACAGTTGAGGAGTCGTAACATATGGATACATACTACACGATTAGAATCTCATTTCATCTCCATTTGTTTCTGAGTCTGGAACTTCAAATGTTTGGTGCTTTCGTGGAGAACACTACATTGATGCCAAATTATAGTTAAAAGCATGAATGAATCAAGCAGCACTGACGTTGCTGACCCAATTCAGACCGGAATCTGCTTCTCATCTGACGCTCAAATATATTATCTGTCGTCATTTTAACGACGGTGAAGATGAATTTTAACTCTACAAATTCGCAACAAAACCCACACCCAAATTATATACAAATTACTTCTTCATTACTGTTTATCATTGTAATTTATTATTATACCTACATATAAAAATAAAATAAAATAAAATAAAAATCTCATCAATTATCCTAAATTCTAACTTGATAAATTACAACTTCGTATGTTGATTACTGTCAACTTCTCCAAGTAGACTATTCTTTGTAGGAAGTTAAATTAGTTGACACATTACAATAGAAGGCAAAATAAACTTTCTAAAACATGACACTTAACAAACTATCTTCATATTTCTCTAATATGATAAAACTATTCACATATAAAATTTTAACATTTGTGAATAAATCATAAAATATATAATAAGAGTCATATCTACTTAGTGGATTATTTTTTATCAAGTTTATTTCTTATATTTTCTTAAGATAACAAGTATTAATATTTCTAAGTCATTGCCATGTTGTATATATTTTGTGTATTTTCTTCATATCTCTTTTAATAATCTTTTTTTTAATACAAGATTTTCTCTAAATATTATTTTTTATTTTTATTTTCCATGTATTATTTTTTTAATCAAAATGTTTCATAATAACCTTTCTCTCTCACACCCCCTTCTCTCTTATCATATGAGTTAAACTCTTTTTACTTTAGTAGATAATATATTTTTTAAATTAAAATTAAATTATTTTTTTGGAAAATTTTATAGAAGTGTTTTAATTTTATAATTAATAATATTTTTATAAATTGGAAATTATTTAATAAATAAAAAAACCAATATATCCAAAACCAAAAAATTAAATCTTAAAAACTTTCTAAAACTCTCATATGAAAAAATTTCATGTTACTTTTATGATCAAAGAATCCAAATTATTATAAAGACAAGCCAAGAATCTTAGCTTATTCTTTAAAAGTAACATGCAACTAGTAAGGATTATATTCAAAAAAAAAAAAAAAAAAAAAAAAAAAAACGATCAACAAAAAAATTCTAATTTTAAAGAATATAGTAGTTAAGATTCTAATTTTAAGGAAACTAGAATTACAATAGGATCTTTCAATTATTATTTAAAAAATAATTCTTCAAAAATAATGTTTTATGAATATTAAAAAAATAGCTAAAAAAAAATTTCCAAAAATTTCAATAATTATTATTCTAAACTAATTTGTATTATAGTCTTATTTATACATATTTATATTTTTAGAAAAAATAAATCAAATAAATAATTAATTAATTCAAATTTTAAAATAAATTCATATATTTTAATAATAATAGATGTATGTATGTGTGTGTATATATATATATGTATATATATATATATATATATATATATTTAGAAAGAGAGAGAGAGATTGATAGCTCACAATCAGTCATTTAAAGTATCCAATTTTATCTAAAATTTTATCTATTTTCATATTTTACAACTATGTTGTAAAAATATAAACTATGTTTTTTTCCTAATTTTTGGATATCATTTAAAATCTTAATATAAAATTATATAACAAGGTTACAAGATATTTTAATATATATAAATATATATATATATATATATATATATAGTATTTTAATAGTAAGTTATTTTTATGGATTAATCAATATCTGTACATTTATTTTCTTTATAAAATAAATAAATTGACTTATCATTTTAACATATTTGTATCATGAAAAACGACGATTTAAATTTCTTCTTTGATTTCCATCTTTTAAAGAAACGAAATTTAATTTTTAAAAAAATAATGAAATTTTACATAAATAATTTGTAATTATACATTTAAAAGTTTTAATATCAAAATTTGTTATAAAAACCATCATTTCAACATAGTATTTTATATATGTATACCAATATGTGAAGGCCTGATAATAAAATAAATCTATAATATATGCACTAATTCTTAATAAATACGTCACAAAAAATTAACATTGTTAAGAAACAAAAACATTGCAATTATTAAAGTAATGATAATTTGTGTTGATACAAGTGAATTTACATCATCTGTCTTCACATTATTTTTATTTTTTTTCAAATTTTATAATATTTTTGTTAATATTTTAGTATATTTTACAACCTTAATGGTTATTCAAAAAAAAAATACTGCTCTTTAGGTTTTATTTTATTTTTATATTAAGTGTTCAATACCAACATTTGACCCAAACTTGTATGCAAAAAAACAAATATTTCTTATCATTTTTTAACCAAAATAACTCAATTAAGAAACTGTTATTTCCAATGAAACTATCAATAAAATTAATTATACCTATGTTGATCATCTTTTTAACAATAATTGAGACTAAAAACCAAGCATAGATCTAGGATCTACTTGGAAGGAGGGCTAAATTAACTATTGGTAAAGTCTTCATTTATACAATTATAATATTAAACCCTATAAAGATAAATTTCTTTGGAATATTACCTTGATTTTTTTTTTTTTCACTTGCAACCTTATTGTCATATATTACTGGAATTTCTACCTTAATAACATGTATTAGTACCATTTCCACATCTGCTAAGAACCCAGCTTTCAGTCGTCGTCGCCGTCGCCGTCGCCTTCGTTGCTTTGATGTTTCTTCTTCGTCGTCTTGTTCATCTCCGTCGACTACTTCGTCATCGTCGTCACTCGAGTGGGGGTGAGTTTGTGGGAAGAGTGTCGGCACTGGAACATCGTTTCATGCACGAAACTCACGTTCATTTGCACTGATAGCAGGGTTGGAAGATGCCAAAGATTTTCACATGATCAACAATGTTTTCTAAGCTTGCCCAAGCACCGAACCCAACTCCCAGAATTGCGATGGTGACGACCACCACACAGTTCAGGGTCATCATGCCCCACCAACCCAGGGCTCTCCGGTTCTTCCCCGGTTGCTCCGCCGCATTCTGCAAACGTGGGCAGAAACTCTCATTAGCAAACGATGCTGGTTTGATTGTAAGTCTACGAGGTTGGAATGACATGTGATCGATCATGTGACTGCAAAGTCTAAGAGAATGAACCTCGGGTGCGGTAGGGTTCCAGAATGTGTTGTTGTAGACGTTGCAAGGGATGATGAACACCGAGAAGCTCATGAAAAGGGATCCAATGACGGAGTTCAACGGACCGAAAAAAAGGGAACATGAGAGCTAGCAACCACAACAAGCAGCCTAGCGGTAGTCGGACAATCACTCGCTTGAGGCAATGGGACTGGTGCACGCTAAGATACTTTTCCTACATAAAATTCAGCGGCATGATGTAGAGCCCGTATGCAACAGCCTGGTAAGAATTGAACAGATCCTTTGGGGTTAGGGGAGTTCACATCATTGCCGTGCTCACATAGCAGTGGTGAAGATTTCAGCATGGTTTTCTGAAAAGTTCCAAGTCATTGGTTTTCGTGAGTGGGTCATTTATACCTGGTGTACGATCATGAAGATGAGAGCAGTGTCGCTAGCGCTTGTGTCTGGCAACAGAGCTAAGGCGTTGTTCTCGTGGAGAAGCTCGTCACCGAAAGACCAGTAGAGGGCGTTTCAATGTGGGATTGTGATGAACAGCACATAAAACGTGCAAGCCAGGTACACGTACTTGTATTTTACAGGTCTCCACATGGCGTGCATGATCTCTCTGCACAACGATATTGCAAATATCATATTAAACTTCTATCTTCAATATGGTGTGCAGATAGACTCATATAATACCAACATTCCAGTCAGCTTTTTAGCAAGCTCCAAGCACTTCCCAGCTCTTTGTCAAAGTGCTGTAGAAGATAATGGTGTGACAATTCAAGTAAGGGTCTAGGTTCGGAAGTGAATTGACCTACATTGTGACAGCGTGCCCTCCAGTTCCGAACAATATATTGGTAGTGCCTATGAAGAAGGATTGCATATTTATGGGAGCTGAATACGTCACGCCAGGACTCTACAAACAATCCAGTTCAAAGAGAACCGTTTAACTGTGGCAAGAGTACTGGAAATTGAGAACTCTAAATCAAAAGGATTACACGGTATGGATCTTTTAAAGATGTAAAGTGTGATTCTATCGCATGACTAAGACCTGCAAGGATTGCACTGGTTAAAAGACATACCCGTCCTCTGATTATGGCGGAGCTCAACATGTACCATGAAGTGTAGGTGGTGGTCAATACACCTAGGAATGAAAAGATGCGGAAGTTGAGGATCGTTGGTAGTAGGTCCACAGTGAGAGAGAGCCCCCCGAAGATCAGCGCCCATGTTCTCTTGTTCAGTTGAGGATTGAGGTAGTATGCGTTACGGCAGCAATTATCGCAAAATCCTCGATGAGAAAAATCACCAAGTCGTCAACGATTTCAATTATCTCGATTACCTACGATCCTACGATTCTGAAAGAGTAGAGTAGAATTTTGACTGAATGAAGCGCGGATGTTCAAGGGTAACGAACCTTGAGCAGGCTATTATCTGGATCACTGCTACAGCTCCCACAGTGACGACGTTGAAGAAAAGGGATATGTACATCGCCCACTTCCCAACGAGCGCACCCAAGACTTCATGGTACTATTTTTCATACCAACAGCAGTACACTTTCAGAAAACAGGTACCATTCTTACTCGTTCACGAATTTAACATTCGAGCTCGTCTTTAACGAAGTAATGCAGAGCTGCAGTGTCAAATCACTGCACTCCTGTGTGAAGTCTTTGCAGGGAGATGTATGAAGGAAGTGATTGCACAAGGCAGTGGAGAGACAGCTTTGATAAGAATATCAAATTCCAGCACCACAACCTCTACACCATCAGGCTGTGATGCTAGCTGAATCAACTCGGAGGACTATACACCCTGGAAAATACTTGCACACTTCAACACCTTAGAAGCGCGACACATAGGAATCCGTGTATCCTTGCAAGCAGGGCGCATTCGGGAGAAGCGGTACTTGGATGTGAAAATGGAGTGAGGTGAGGTGGCATTTATAAGGGAAAGTTTCGATGCTTGGGAGGGTGGGCGTGGATTGGGAGTTCATGAATCCAGATCACTAAGAAACTTAGACTTGCTTTGTTCAAATTCTCCACTCCTGTTCCTTTCCTTAGTGGACTCAAATGGTTCTGTGCACGAATGGCAACAGTCAAATTTCTAATCTCTCTACTGAGACTCTTATCTTCCTCATTGCTACGAAGGTTCTTGAGTAAGATTGTGGAATTAATTGGACAGATGTTGAGATGCGCTTCAATTGTCAGCCAGCTTCATTCCTGCATCAAAAAATTGCCATAAGAACAAAATGAGAGAGTCATGACTCAGCCTAGCTATGGTAACTTGACAAGCGGAGACAAGAAGGATATGAAAAAGAGACCATCAGATATGCGATTCAGAAGCTGGAGACTGAGGACATGAGTCTCGCTGGAAAGAAATTGAAAAGAAAGAAAAACTACAACAAAAACAAAAATGTGAAGTAAAGCTCCAAACATAGGTTACAGAGGAGGGGCGAATGCAAATTAGCCTGCTAACTAGGATGTTGTTCAACTAATCATCAACCATGGATAACACCAATGCGAGCAAATAGGTTGTAATTTGTTGCAATTGGTGGTTACTCAACATGTCAGTTATAGTTTAGCAGCTCGCTTTGACATTTTTTCTGCAACTACCACTACAGTTGTGATGTGGATATATAAAGTTCATAGAACTCTTGTAGTGGCTTTATGTTGTGGGCCCATGGTAAAAGGGTGCAGTTTATTGATGCACACCTAGTAAAACTGCTCGGGAATTCTTGTTCTCCACATGAGATAAGCTATGCAAGAGCTTGGATTGTGTAGCCAAGCTCTGGAGCCCATGCACACACATAACGCCGTAGAAAATATGCGAAAATTCAATAGTGATCACAATGGCAATTTCGTCAGGTATTTCGAGTACCCAATCTGTCGCATGAAGTGTCGTTGAATCAATTCTGTAAGCCTGCTGTTAGTTCTGAAGGCTTCACGTCTAGTAGGTCTGGGTAGTGACCCGCGAGAGAGAATGCTGCGCTTGCAGGCTCGCAGCAATCACGTTACAGAAAGACTGGACCAACTAAAGTTACCACTTGTCACAGACAACTTTTGACAAGATCTCCACTTGTTTCAGTCAGTTTTGTGGCCCGTTATGAAAATATCTCCAGTAACTAGGAAAAATTCCCAATTATGTTATGCAAAAAATAATGGATGAATCGATGTGCTAAAGTGATTAAATCAAGTAGCCTGTGAAAGTGCCACAACAATATTGGCAAAATTTGCGTGTCATTACCCATTGATACTGTTAACGGCTTCCGCAGCTCACCATAATTAATCTTTGCCAACTCAAGTCCAGAGAGTGAACTTTTGATGTCTATGTTACTTCTACGTGACGCAAGATTTCTTTAACACTTGAGAATATTCTTGTAAAATAGTACCTAAAATCCTCAGCATCGCCTGCTCTGTGGCAGATGGACGGAGAGTTGCAGCACGGTGGGGATCGCCGTTGGGAGACAAAAAAAAACTTTAACCACACCCACCTCATCAGTATTCCATCTTATGGATTGTGGACATACACGGACTGAAACCGTAGTTCCTCCATGAAAGGACAAAAAAATCAGTCCCGCAGCCCAGCAATGAGATACACACACACACACACACACTCTCTGAAGGGCCAAACGAGAGGAACATGTAGGAGAGCGAGAAATCTCGAAAAGGAGCACCGGGTGAGAGATCCACTACGCCTCTTGCATGGCACCAAGCAACACCTATGACACGATGGGGAATGTTCTCGCATGAGGCGAATGACTGCAGGGCCAGCCAGACTTCCAACGTAGTCAAATCCCCCTCCCTCCTCCGCGTATATGGGGGGGATATGTGGTGTAATCTGTGCGATGTTCGGGTTGGTCTCATCTCCGAAAGAGCAAGTACTACGTTGCCGTGCTACGAGGATACGATCTCACGGCCACGCTTCACCAACCCCCCCCCCCCCCCCAAAGCAAACTTGGTCGGTGAGCCAAGCTCGCCGGCCTCCATGCCTCCGCCATCTGATGGCTCCTTCCTTCCTGCTTTCGTAATCGTAATCGCCCTTGGGTACGGTATTGGGTATTTGGTATCGTATTTTCCTTTGGTATATAGTATTCGGTGTTTCGTATCGTATATGTTGCTTCGATGTGTCATGGAGACCTTGTGGAAAGTGTTTTGTGCCGGTTTAGTAGAGAAATTGTTTGTTGTGAGTTTGGTGGTTTGAGTTAAACTGTGTTGTTTAGTGGACTTGGTGGGAGTTGGTGAGTGTGATTTTGTATAGGGTGTTTTTCGTTTTGATTGTGTAGTGGCAGTTCTTTTAGTGTGTAAACTTGTCTATGATTAGTGCAAGAATGGTTGGTGTTACGACTTTCTATAGTTGTGTGGATACATTAATAGTTTCTTTGATGTTTCAAATAAGTTTTATTAAAAATTTTAAAAAATAAAATGGAATTGACAAGATTGCTGGTTTAAATCCAAGTTGCAAAATTACAATCACACTTGATACAGTTTTGTACAAAGTTTATTCTAGTAGTGTCAATTTTTGTGTTTTATATGGATATGTTTTTTTTAATTTTACATAATAGTAACACTGATAATAATTTTATATCTTTATTAAGTTTAGATAACACAAGATTTATGAAATTTTATTAGATATTATCATAATTATAGTTTATTTTTGTTAAGAAATAAACAAAGTTAAAAAAAAAAAAAAATCTTAGTGTAATTTTTTTAATATAATTTATTTACTATTTCCTCAAATTTATATATGTATTTTAATTTTTTAAATTTAATTAAAAATAAAAAAATTAAATGATAAAATTAAAAATTAAAATATCTAATTTAAGTTGTAATGAAAAATACTGTTTATCAACTACATTATAGATCCATTTTCAGGTGAGTATATATATATATATATATATTTAAAAATTAATTAATTAAATTATTTAAAAAAATTTTAAAATAATAATACATTTAACTATAAGTCTAATACAAATTTCAAATTTTAACTTCTTTTATTTTGAGATTGATTTAGTTTTAATAATAAAAAAATATAAAAAAAAAACTAAACTAAACTAAACTAAACTAAAAAAAACAAAAAAATAAACCAACAGTTTTTTATTTTATTTTATTTTATACATTGTGATTAATTTTTTTTAAGTATACAATCACAAAATTTCGTGCAATTTAATCTTAAAGACAAATATTCAAGTAAATTAAATTTAATATGTAAAAATACTTTATATGGATTACAAGACTCAAAAAAAATTAAACTTGAATATTTATGTAAGTTATTTCTTTGACTTAATCTTCTTATATATATAATTTTAGTTAAATTAATTTTACATCATTAATTTAAATTAATCTAATATCATTATTTTATGCATATGGTATGAATTAATCTTTAAAATTATAATATAAATAGATAAATAACTATTAGATAATTTCATAAAAATAAAACTAAATAGATTTTTAAAATATTTAAAAGAAAAAATTAGGCAAATAATTTTAGCATAATAAGTACAACAAGAATTCTTCCAATAAAAAATTTATTTTTTTAGAATATGTATATGTACATATATATAATTTTTTTAACTAATTAAAACTTTATAATTTTTTTTTTTTTTTTTTTTTTTTTGTCATAGTATCATAGTCTTGTATAATGTGAATTCTTGCTTGAGAATGCACCAAGCACCTAGCCATGGAAGTTAAATAGAAAATGTAAGACAAGGTCCTAGTAAGTCTAATAGAATCTTGAATAATTTCTAATTAAATCTTTACAAACATAATCAAACTTTAACCAAATTTAAAATAAATTAAAACAAATTACTAAAAAATATTAAAAAATCACAATTTAATCTAAGAATAATAATAATAAAATCCTAAAAAAATATTAAAAATAAAATTCTTGATAAAATAATAAAGAATTTAAAAGAAATTCTAAGAAAATTCTTAAATTTCTTAATTAAATCTTAATTATATCTTAACTAAATCTCAATGAACTTTAATGAAATCCTAAAGAAATCTAAGAAAACCTTTAGTAAATCCCAACCTTTTGATGTAGCTATTTTATAATCATAATATCTAATAATTAAACTTTTGATCTCAACTAAAATTTTACACACAATTCAATCTCAAAGAAAATAACAAACATATAAATTTTGAAGGAAATTAAACACACCAATTGAGAGAAAATGCTCCTAAAACTCTTGGATATTAGTCATTTTTCTTCTCTAACCTAGATACTAATTTTTAAGCAAATATCTCTCTTTTTAAATTTTTTAACTGGTTTACAAATTAACAAAAGTGTAGATATCTAAGTTGAAAATTCTTTCATAATATTTTACTTCAATTTAACTAGTAGAATTTTTAGGATTACAAAAACCCTCATTAATCCTAAAATTCAAATATCTATGAAATATAATCCAATGAAACTTCTATATCATTCAATCTAATCATTAGATTAAACTCATATTTCTAAAGCATATTTAAAACAAATACAATAACAAACATACAAAATTTTATCTTTGAATTTGCTACAACACTAAAAAATTCTTTGAATATATAAACCTCTTTTTATTTCTAAAACTTTCAAAGCTCTAAATATATTTTTTACTTTGAAAAATTATAAAATATTCAATAATACTTTAAATCACTTAAAAATATTGCTTTAATAATCTTACTAAAATCTTTTCTTTAATTGTATTCTTTGATCAACAAAAAAACCTTGGAATTTCCATAAGTGTGTAATTTTGTGCCTTAGAATCTAACTTCAATCCCAAATAACAAATAGGCCTCTTAAGATATCAATTTTTGGTATTTTAAGATAATTTTTGCTAAAATCAATTTTAAATTTTTTTTTAAAGTTGTTTGTATAATTTATTTTCTTAATATATATGTATTTTTTCTAATCAATGGTTTTATAAGGTAAGTAGAAGTCTTTTGATAGAAAGGTAATATTAACACTAAATTTTTTATTACCTTCCTATTATTTATCCATATTTTGCTACTATAGTTTTTTATTAGGCTCTTTTATAATAAAATCCATATTTTTATCTTTTAACATATAATTATGTTACCATACAATAATAGACATCCATATTTATTTTAATAATTATTTAAATAACATAATAATATAGAAATATATAAAAGTAAATAAATTTAATAATATCTTATGGATAAGCTTTTTGAAAGCTTCATTAATATAGCTTTGATTTTATGTGTATCTATAAATGATTGATGGGTTAAAAACTTGGCCAACAAGTTGACTACGTCTTGCACATATTGATGACTTGTAGTACAAGTTGGATATGTGGTGTACATATAGAAAACTTATCTTATAAGATAGACATGTGTCCTATAATTAGATATGTGTTGGAGGCCTTATAGAATGTTGCCACCTGGTTCTTAGTTAAATAATATACATAGAGACAAAAGTGAGGCCTTCCTATCTCTTGTCAATTCTTTTCTTGCTTCTAGTCTAGTTTCAAGAGTTTCTAGTCTTTTTATCTTTTAATAATAGACATTGTAGTTTCTTTTTTAATATACATATTTACTTATTTCTTATTTGTCTTTTTTTTTAGAAAACATCTCACTTGTTTATTTGCATTTGTTTAATTCTTATCCTTAATAAAAGAGTATATTTTTTATTGTGAAGAATGTAGGAATGTTTTTGATATTTTAAGCTACTTGAGGGATATATATGAATTTTTTCTATTTTTTATTAATTTATGTAAATAAAGTTAATATTAGATTTTTTAAATTAATATAAATTATTAAATTTTTAATTAAATTTATGATTATACAATCAAGTTCATTGGTTGTCTTTTTTATTTTTTATTTAAATATGAAATTATATCTTAAAACCTAAATATTTTAAAAATAATCTAAATAATAATTTAAAGAATGCAATTAGAAGTAAAAATAAAATAAAAAATAAATAAATAAAATAAGAAAAAATTATTTTATTTTGAAGCAACTTCTACTACAACATGTTGTAAGTTCTACTAAAATATGTGTTTATTAAATTATCAATTACTCTAATTATTAAAGAATTCAAAAAATACATATTTTAAACTTAAAAAATAAAATACTTGGTATATAAAGACCTAAATCTACAAAATAAATAATATGTTGATAAGATGTAATTGTCAATTTATTCAAATTATAACTATGAAATTCTTAACCTTATTTGATGGATGTTAATCTTGTTGTATATTTGTTAGTACAAAAATCATAACATCTAATATTTCAAAATTTTAAAAGAACAAACAAACAAACAAATCAAATCAAATCAAATCAAAATAAGATCCTTGTACCACATTGATAGCTTTAGAAATTAAAAAAATACAAGTAAAAATAGTTAATAAGCATGGTACTTAATAAAAAAAATTAAAATGAAAGTATTATTCTTTATGATAATAATAGCAGCCTCTTCAATTGTTGCAATGCCCTAGATCATTACTTTTTTATCTCACTTCTTTAATATGTATATATTCACACACACACATACATACATATATACATACACCAAGTGTTTTTTTATATAATAACATACATTGCAATGCTTCATCTTCTCTACTTCACTTTAATAATTGTATATTTCTATCATGTTATTTAAAAAGTTATTTAAAAAGTTTCTATTATGATGATATCTAATTTGGTTGTATTAAAAACCATATTGTATGGATCTAGAATTGGTACAGTGAGAAGAAGTAGTATATTAGGCCATTTTTTTGTCATTCTAAAAAATTTAACAAATAATTTAAATCATATATGAAGCTTTCATCAACAAAAAAATTATTAGAGTTTTATTTTTTTTCTTCATGATAGCTATACTATTTCCTTGGAGGAAGTACACTCAGACCAATTTAGAATGCAAACATAACAAAGATTATAAATTTTTATTATACAATGAGGTAAAAAATAAACAACTTATTTACTATTGCAAAAAATTTAAAAAAATCGAGAATAATTATCAATAGAATCTAAAGCTTCAAAATGTAGAGAAGATCATGTAAGAAAAATTATTTTGTATAAAATAAATACCACATACCTAAGCACAAAAAAATAGATATATCAAGTTTTTGATAAGTTATTGTCTATCCTTTTATAAGATTCTTTCTCATGTACAACTCCAATTATATCTCACTTCTATTTTTTAGGTTCTACAATTTATAACTTATAATAATTCTTGACCTAGAATTAAATATAGATCTCTAAATTGTGCCTATTTTCTTTATTAGAATTAAATATGTAATTTAGTTTCATATAAAATAAGGTATTGTAATATTTATTATATCTAAAAAATCTAAATATTTTTTAATTTTTTAATTTTATCATATTTTGGAAGATGCATCCAAGAAGGGTTGCAACTTCTTAATAGTGTGTGACGTTTCTATTCAATATTCACCGTACCATAGATTAGTTATTGATAATTTCTGATTTTTAATTTTAAATATGTCCTTGTAACCAAGATATAGTACAAGTTGGATTCTTCTTCAAGAATAACAAGAAACAAAAGATAATGTGTAAGCTTTGGATTAGACAATGGCTTGATAAAGATGTCGAAACATATAGAATTTATTGACAATATGTAAACTTAATTCTGTTGAGATTGTTGAATTCACAAATAAAATAGTGACAAATGTTAATATGCTTGGTGCAAGAGTAGAACTTAATAGTGTTGGCTAAAACTAATGCAGATTGGTTGTTATAATATATTAAGGTTGTAATTTTAAGAGTAGTGGTTTACTAGAAATCATTCATAAGGTAACATAGTTAAATTGCTTCAAAAGAGGCAATATCCATAGCCACATATTTTTGCTTCTATGTTCGACATGGTAGTTGATTGTTGAGAAATTGGATTCCAACTAATGAAGCCATGTGATAGAAGGAGGTTTGGTAGTGACTAATGTAGACAAAGTCTTGATAGTGGATAATGCGGAAGGAACCTTGGTAGCAAGTGGTGTGGACCATGCCAAAGCAATAAGGATCTTAGACATTGTTGAAGCAACAAATAGCACAGACCATATCAAAGTAGTGCGCAATACAAATGATGGCAAAGCAGCATGCATCATAAAAGATGTTGCTATAGTTAAGAAAGTAAAATCAAAGCCTCAAGTTAGGTGTCATGGACATATATATTTATTCCAATAATTATCTATATGATTAGATAGAAGTAGGTAAAAGTAGATTAATTTCATAATATCTTTTAGAGAAACTTCTCAAAAGCTTCATAGATACGGCTTTGACTTTATATATGTTTATAGGTTAGAAATTTAGTCAACAAGTTAGCCATATATTAAACATGTTGATAGCTGGTGGGACAAGCTAATAATGTAGCACACATATAAAAAACTTGCCTTGCAAGTTAAAACATGCATCTTGGAATTTGGACATATGTTGAAGGTCCTATATAATATTGCCACATAGCTTCTAGTTAGATAGTATATGTAGAGGCAAGAGTAAAACCTTCTTCACTCTTATCAACACTTTTCTTGTTCTTAGTCTAGTTTCAAGAATCTGTATTCTTCTTGTCTATAGTAATAGCCATTCTAGTCTTAATACTATATTACTTTTGAAATAATTATTTATTCTTCTTATATTTATTCTTCTTGAATTGAGAGGAGCGTTCATTCGATGACTCAGATCAAGCCGGAGTTGCAGATGATGAGAGAAGACCATGGAGCTTGGAAGCGTGCGCACAACCACTCTGTTTACGCTCAATGCTTCTTCATTCTTGCCTGGTCACGTTTGGGATAGCATAGGTCATAAGTGTGTCAGATCCTAAAAACTAAGACGACCGTGTAACCCATTAAAACTCGCTTCGAATTGCAATATGCAATAATGATATTTGAGTTATTTGTATTTAAGCACTTGATATTCTTGTTCTCTAGTACAGAAAGATCATGCCAGTTTTACTTCTTTAATTGTTAGCCACAGTTCAAGTAAGTGTTAACAACTGTGAACGAGTAGCATACTCTTCTTCTCTTGTCCTGCTTTCTCAAAGACCACCTTCTCTTGAACATTTTGTGTTTCCTTTTGCACTCTGTGCAGTTGCTGAGTCCCACGCTAGTCCCCACCGCTACCTTCACTTCTTGGACTGTACACCACAGTCACTCGGTCCCAGTCCCATGGTTCCACTTGTTTCAGCTCCTGAGTCGAAGTGCTGGGGTTAAGCAAATGTGGTCACGAGCAGTTGTGGATGAATTCAGATTTGTGGGGGCTAGAGGTGTTGGCTTGAAATCATGCACCATGCTTTGAGGGTCGAGGATCTCTCAGAAGCTGCTATTGCTGTGTATCCGTATGAGTGATGAGCAAGCGTTTTATTCTTTTCTTTCTTTCTGTTTTTGTGGCCATGTGTGACTCACGTTGATGTTAGGGTTTTATGAATGGTGACATCCTTCGGTTTGAGCAACTTGGGTTTGTACGTCGGTGTCTGTGGGGGAGCAATGTAAGATAGTGTAGATGGGCTTCAAAGATTTGTAGCGAGTGGTTGGGGGCGTGAAGCGGGAGGGTGTTCGGAGGTGTTGGTCAGTCGCTGTCGCTGGAAAGTTGCTGCGAGGTCAGAGATTTTCGAGGGTTTTTAATTCATTGTCATGGTTGGGGATCAGTGTATGTATTTTTGAGGTGGATTGATCAAGGTGAGTCTTTTCTTGCCGTGCGTGGTTTGTTCGTGTCGTTTCGGAAACAGTTGTCTGAGGCTTTTGCTGGCAATGTGGGTTCTCGACCCTTTCGATTGTGGCTGTCAGTCTCCACTCTTACAGACTTTTTTTTTTTTTTTTTTTTTTTTTTTTTCTTTCTGAAGTCATTTTTGAAAATTGTGCGTGTCTAGCAGTGTGTCGTGTTTTTCGCAATGTTCATTTGGAACGTTTTATTTTTGAAGGTCATCAACCGAGCACATTGTGTTCGTTCTGAAGGATCAGGTGATCGGGATTCTAGTGAGTTCTGTTTGTAAGATAAACCCCTGGACTCACTGTCATAAATGCTTTGGGGTTGCGGGATTTGTGGAATGAGGTACTCCGCGGGTAACAAGAAGCTGTGGTGCTGCCCCAGGAATAGAAACTAGGAAGGACATTGAAATGAAGGAAATCCAATTTAATAGCAATATATTTTTTTTATATATTCGAATTTGAAGTTCATTCTGAATCAGTGTAGAATGTAGAAACTTAGATATTAGCAGCAAAGGAAAGAAATAAGGGTTTAGCACTGTGGGGCGGCCTTGATTTTACAGTGTCCTGGGAAAGCCAGCAAGCACCTGTGCTGACTCTATATGCACTACAATCTGGCTGTACATTCAACGATGGAGCGTGGGTTACAGCGTCGTTGGGCTGAGTTATGAAGCTGTGGTTTCTCAAGGGGAACATTGGCGGCTCATCACGTTGACTTTCTCTCACATCAGCTTCCTTCACTTGCTTTCTGACATGAGTGCTCTCTGGAGCCTAGGAATCGTCGAAGTGCCAAAGACTACACCCTGGGAAACGCTTACTACATACAGTGCTCAATAACAATGGTACTTCTGTCAGGGCTGATCGTATTCGGCATGTACCATATGCTACCTACCCAGGTGAAGTTGAACTTCTACAGACGAGTAATCGTGTGTTGTGTTTGGTTGGATGACCATCCTTGCTGTGAAGCAGCCATCTCTGATTCTGAATTTGTTTGGGCTTGTATCGCTCCCAATCAGCTTCGCACCGTTAGAGTATCTCATCTTTACATCCATCACTGTACCGTGGGCGAGTTTTCTCGGGCAGGATTAACGGTGGGTAATCTTAGTGGTTGGGGTGTAGTTCAAGGTATGACTAACTACTGGACAGTCACTTAAGCTGTTTGCATCGCACTGGGGTTTATTTAGAGCTTGAGGCGGACTACCTCGTTTGAGTTGCCATACTTGGAGGTTGAGTCTAGGGCATGTTAATATATGTCAAGCGTCGCTTCTGCCCCATCCAATATATCTACAAGCTGGTCAAGAGCTTCTCGTATTTTGCAAGGAAGCGACTTGGTGTGGCTCTCTGTTCAGTCTCATCATGAATCTCCTATCTCAGAAGTTGAGTACATTTTATATTTTTAATGGGATATAGCATGCTGTATCAATATGTGGTGATTCTGGCCTTTCTCTGCTTTGAATTTGCTTCGTCACGACCTCATAAGGTCGCAGAGCCTTGGCTTTACTGTTGTGATTGTGTTTTTGATGACTGCTTTACAGCAGTCTGGCAATCAAGTTCTCTGGCAACATCAATTAAGATGAAGTGGCCAATCAAAAGCATCATAATATTGAGAATTTATCTCATAAGCTCATGTACTAATTGCTGCCAGAACGCAAGGTAGATGCGAAGTGGTTGATAAGGGATGTTGTCAAGCTTGGCCTTGAAGAGTGAAATGAGAAAGAGACTCAGACAAATCTCTGTACTCCCCAGCCGGTGAGTTTAGCATATATTAGTAGACGAGACTGTTCAGACCTTGATTCCAATCGATCAGGATCCTAGACCATTTATTTCTACTTGTATTTTTAGTATTAAATAGGCATCCATGATCATCTCTTCAGATGGTGAAAGACCCGCAGCTTTGACGATGTTGTAATATTCTGTTCATTTTAAATTCGAGACAGCTTTTCTTGTTACTGAAGTTCGTTATTTGGAAGTGTCGATTGCATGATTGATCCTTACTCATACTTTGACTCTCTGGAGACATGATGTGAGCAGAATCAGTCTTAATATTCCTGAATCTCAGGAGGATAAGTGACTTACGGCACCATCGACTTTGCTTACCAGTAAAATATTCATCTATGACAAGATTCTCTTGTCGCCGTTACTTCACTCGAAACTCCTTGTTTTTATATTCTCTGATTCTTTCATTGTCGGTTCCATCAGTAGATTAGCACGAAACTCACCTTTTCCTTCTGGTATTGTTACACATCCCTCGGAGCTGGGGTTTCCCATGCGTGAGTGCCAATATTTGACCGCCCGTCCCTCATGTAACTACACTCACGCATCAAATGTCTTCAAAAGGTGACAGCATCGTAACCACTCTTATGGACTTTTTGTTTTATTATTTGGAAGGTCGTTTGAAGTTGGTTGTGGGGCAATTGAGCCACAAACACAAACAAACTACAGTCTGTTGCTTGTCTCCACATGGGAGACACCCAACAACATCACAGCTCTAGGACTCTGAACCTGTGACGTTGAGTTTCCAGCTTCACATTTGACGAGTTCTTGAGATGTAGCTCAGGAACCAGATCGCCGCGACTGCACATCTTTTGAGGCCACTAAACTCGATCTCCATGTAAAAACCTCCCAAGTACAGCGATCTAAGGTAGCAGGGATATTTAGAGAACAGTTGTTTCGGTGTCGGGCGAAAAAACTGGGGTGTGCGATTTGTGGTAACATCGTATATGATTCAATATTACCTGTTGCTTGTGTGGAGACATTGCAGTGTGCAGATATCAAGCACATTGTTGCATGAGGTTGTACAGGGCATAATGTATCACTACAGCGCTTCAATGTTCCTGACTCATTTTCTTGTGTAGAACAACCGGGAACGAATGACTGAAGTGAGTGAAAGAAAATTTGACGGTAAATGCTGGGCGAGAACCAATGGGGAGAGAGATACTGTAATTGAATTTGCTGCGTTTTTATATTTAGTGATGGGAAGTCCTTCCGTGAAAAAAGACATCGCAATTTGTACAGATGGCCTCGTCTAGTCAGGGAGGCAGCACCACTAGTAGAAAAGAGGGCCAGAAGATTGCTGCCCACCTTCTCTACTACTGAAGCAAACGACATCAATCGATCAGAAATAATCGACGATGGTATTGATAGGTAGCGTGTGTGCGGCCAATCCTGTCTCGGAAGTTACAAACCCTAAAATTCTTGCACCCCGGACCACACCTGTTATGAATTTTGTACAACTACATTATGCTACGATCTGTAAGATTACTGAAAGCCCTCCAAAAATCATGTCTCTACGGTTGGATATCTACTCTCAAATGGACCGAGAAACCTCCATACGCAGCCATGCTCTTCGTCTTGCTCCCCGGGCTGCTGGGTAGAATGTGCCAGAACCGTTCCTCTAAGTCATACAACCACCGCTCACCCGTGGTGGTAGAGATGAAGCACAATCCCTCGGATTCTTCATAGCTGCTGTACTCGCAGACATTGAAGTGGTCCAGGAATTGCTTGGAGGGACCGAGCGGAACATCATCAAGAGACGTGGTCACGCGCAGTCCCTTGGGGTCGAGCTCAGAGATCTGCACCCGGTCGGATCCCTCATATTTGGCTTTCATTATTCTGCTTATCATGAGAATGCGGCCATGGTGCTGCACCAGGTGCACGTTACTGTGCATGCCTGGCAGAAACACATGGTAAGATTCCCACAAGCCAGTGTCCATGTCGAAGGTGGAGATTCCCGTCTTGCACTGCGTCGTGCACACCAGCTTGTTGCCTTTCACAATAGCCTGGCTGGGGCATCTATCATAGTAGGGGAAATTGTGCCGGGTTGGCACGTCTTCGAATTCGGTCCACGCCATGTACTGCGAGTGGTACACGCGCGTTACTCGGCGGTCGTAATCAATGAGCACAATTTTGTAAGATCGGTTGAAATTGTCCACAACCATGGCTACATACTGCGGCAAACTGTACGCCTTGGACCCTCCCCACCGAGGGAGCAGCCTCCAGGAGCGAGTGGCGGGGTTGCACACACCAATCACCACCTCTCTATTGGTAGCAGTAGTGTTTCCCTTGTACGCCACGAAGCAGAGCAATCCTCCGCCGACAGAAGTGATGTAGAAGTCGCGGAAAGGGATACAATCCAGCGACATATTGAACCAATTCTTGGAGATGGGGCAGTACAGAGAGCTGTCGCGGAGGTAGTAAAGCTCCGGGCCTTGCTGGAAGAAGGCGAAGGCCGAGAACGCAGGCTCATTCACTGTGAGCACATACGAGGCGCACTGCACGGTGCTGTGCCGTTGTGAAGACAGGAAAGCGCTGGAGTGAAGGAGGTGGTTCCACTTTTTGCAAACTGCTCGCATTGGGAGGAGGTATGGCAGGGGGAGATGCGAGAGAATGATTTCCACGAGTGGCTCGGGAAGAGCCCCCCACAGCTCTGGATCCATCCATACTTGCTTCTGGCGCGTATCGCTAGTCAGAGAAAGACTTGAAAGGTTTACGTCCAACAACCCTGCAATAAGAAAAGAATAAAGAAGAGAAATCACGCTTTCAGAATCCATATTCCAGAATCTCGTCAAACTTAATCATCGCAAATTTTCAACGTTGAACTGATGCTCAAGTGGGAAGATCCATACACAAATTCCAACGTACCAGGCATCGTGATAAACTGTGTTCGTGGTAGATGGGGAACTTTGGGGAAGAGAATCTCCGCGCTTTCAGTGAGAGGTGAGGGATAAGGTAGTGTACATGATCAAGCTAATTCTCCCGCAGGGACTTCTTGGATCATCGAAATGACAACAAGGAAGAGGAAATCCCTTGCAGCAGCGGCAGCATTCACAGCTCGTATCACTGAGTTTGAATCGAACTTACAACTGTGGGTCATTGAAAGCACGAGGAGTTGCGCAGGGAATTACAGCTCCAGCTGCAGAATTCGGGCTCACACACGCAATGAGATGATTGAAACCACCTCACAAAACGCGTGCAGTTTATGCTCCCCAACAGATATTGATGCATCATGCTTTCTTCAACGCGACTGTCCCATATCCAGGACAAGCGCAATGTGCACGGGATTTTAGCATCTGTTGAGGCCCCGCTCAATCCAAGCCCACTAATTAACCTTTAACCCACATGAAAAGTCTACAACGACAAGAAAATTCCGAATGCAACTCAAACACAATCGCAGAGTCACGATTACAACTCAGTTGCGCAGAGAAGAGAGGAAGGATGAGGGGGAACAGAGACCCGGAGTGAGGAGCTGTGGAAGCGAAGAGAGCAGTGAAGAAAGCCTACTGAGTGAGGGGAAGGGTCCGGAGAGACGTTTGCTTATAAAGCAAATGGGGCAACAGAAGAAAATGCATCCCTTCCCATCGCCATCGCCGGCTTGCTCGAGTCCTTCCTTCCCTTCCCATTGTCCATCCTGCTGCATTACCTGCCATTGACCACTCTAGTGCAGCTCTAGAGTTAGTAGCCCTCGAGCTAGTGGTTGGAGGGAGGCAAATATTACGACCCTCGCCTCCGCATTCATGAGAACGCTGTAACCGAAGACAACGCCGGTCAATTCTTCTTTCTTTCCTTTGTTTTTCTTTTTTTTTCCTTTCCCTTGGGGTGGTGTCAGAGTGAGGACGATAACCTTCGCTTTTCTCTCTGGACTCAACCCTAATTTCTGTTAGTGTGTTCTTTTTGCCTCTCTCCGTGGTTATTTCTTTTGCCCTCCTCCTCGTACCTACTCCCTCCGCAACCACTACAGAAGCTGATGTCAACGAGTGGTATCATTCGCTGGGAACTGAATTGATTGTGCGATGTCGGTCTGTTCTTATCATTGAGTTGAAAACAATCGTAAGCATGAACACGATTTCTTTTCTACGTTTTTTTCTATCGCCTGTGTTCTGTTTTCAGTTTTCACCTCAGGTAAGTTTTGGGGTTTCCTTGTTGCGTTTTATTTTAGAAAGTGTACATGTCTCACGGGGAGCATATTCGATCCCATTTCATTCCTCATCATGATGAACATGTGAAAAAGATAAAGAGTAGGGTTGGAATTGAGTTAAATGCATGTTAAACTTCCAAGTAGTGCACTTTTGTTCCACAACTACTTCTGCTTCTTCTTCTTCTTCTTCTTTTGTCCGTTGCAACGTTTTCCGACTCTTTTGGTTTGCTTTCCCACAACTGATGTGGCGGAGAGGTGGTAGCCCTTTCTTCAATGCTGGACCCCGTTTTTTCAGACACCCAGGTGGAAAACAAAGCAAAAACAACACAGAAATAAAAATAAATTTTAAAAGCTAAACAACAACAGTAAATGAAAACTGGACAGGGACTCGCAGGTCCATGGCTTCTATTGCTGTAGCCACCGTCACGCCCTGCTTGTTTTCACGACGACTAATGGTGGGATGGTGGTGAGAGGAGGAGGAGGTTGCCATGGCTTCACCACCACCGAGAAACAGGAACCCAACTCAGCAATCAAACAGAACATAAAATATTACAAAAACGCTGTTGAAACTGATGTGCATTGGCTTGAGGTCCACGAAAGCTCTTGTGTGTGAACTCATACATACTAAGTTTGTGCGTATCCCTCCAAGATTTTTCTAACTAAGTCGTTAGCATATGGGGGGGGTCACGCAAGCTTCGATCATGTAATTATCTTTAGATTTCGTGTGTGAAGCGCTTTCCACCGATCACTAAAATAAATTTACAGGATTGGATTGCAACAAGCTTGGTGATAGCACAAAAATCTGTCCACTTAATAGTGCTATTTGAAAAGAAAAAAATTGTACGCAAATTAATCACCGTAAGTCACCACTCAATTATAGTCGTCGGTGGCACATATGTTCATCCAGAGAGGACCTTCGGGGGGCGATTCGCCGTGTCTCCAAAACCAGCCTGGAGCAGGAGCTTTCAAGGAAAAGAGGAACACAGACTGCGCAAGGTGGGGCCAGGGAGCGATGACGCTAAGGAAGTGGGCCAGGCTGTATGCAATCGAAACCAACTTAGAAAACTGAAAAGCAACGGAGAGATCGCGGAGTTTGCTTTCGACCAGATTTAGTAGGGTGACAGAAGTTGGAGCATCTGCACACACCTATTTGACTAATTTGGAGCAGCCATCGACGGCCGAGCAGCGACCACGCGGAGTCCAACTCTCAGTGTGAGCGTCTGCATGGTGATAGTCAACCTTTAGCGGATCGGCACCTGGTATCTAGCTTCCACTAAGGTAGATCGCATTGATGAATCGGGCCGCCCTGCTGCCGCCTGCCACTGAACGAGCAAGAGGAAGTGGAGCCGGGTTCCAGAATGGGCAAGCTCGGGCATCTGGGTGGCGGGAAGTAAATGCCCATCTCCGCCGAAGCCAAGCAGAACAACGCCCTTCGTACCTACCCTTGCTACATTCCTTTAATCCCCTCGACTACTTTTCGTCTTTATGATCGGCTGTCTCGGAAAGGGCGCCTGAGCAAGGGGTGGGTTTTCCGGTTTTGTTTTGGTGTGCTGCGTGCAGGTCGTTCAGTTCAGGATATGCCTGCGAATCCAGGGCTTTTCCATTATGACTTCCATACCAATATTGGCACACTAGCAAGAGTCTCCCCCCCCCCTCGGGAATTGTTTGTGGCAAGCGATTGCGAGTCCAGGCAATGAATTATTCAGAACAGCAGTACGAAAATCCATGTGCGGGATTTAAGCAAGATCCAAAAGCGGAACCATGAATGTGGAGCCCTTTCTCTCTTTCGCCGTCCGACCCCCCCCCCCCCTCCCAACGCACCACCAGTTGACTATACTTTTTCCCTGTTTTTCCTCTACTTAGTGTCCCGAAGAAAGGGGGTACACAGAAACTAAGAGGAATGAACAGAGATGGCAGGATTTGATTCGACACGAAACTTATGGTGGTGGACCCATCTCTCCTTTCTCCTCTCCCGTCTCCTCTCCTCCGCCTCTCCGGCAACAACAGCACCACCACTATCATCAACAACTGCAGCTGTGAGGGCTGCCTGATGCGTTGGAAGTAGTGCTGGCAGACACATGGCGACACGGTGCGGTGCAGTGCAGTCCAGTGAGGAGCAGTGCAGCTTGGCTGAGCTGGGCTGGGCTGGGCTCTCTCTCTCTCACTCTCTTTCATCTTATCCAGTTGTTGCAGGGCCCCGACGGACTGGACACCACATCTCACCCAACCGACCTGGTCCCTCTATCTCTCTCACTCTCTCTCTCTCTCTCTCTCTCTCTCTCTGTTTCTCTCTCTCTTTGTCCCCCAGACTAGTAGACTCACTCACTCTCTTACTCTCTTACTTTACTGCACTGTTCCAGTGTTCCAGTGCAACAGAAGCACTCGACCCCTGATGGATGCAAGCGCAGCTCAGATCAGATCCGGAAGGGAAAGAAATAAAGAAGGAAGAAGAAGGAACAGATGAATGAATGTTTGGATGGATGGAGGATGGTCATCGAGAGAGTGTGAGTGAGAGAGTGTCCCGAGCTTCGAGAGAGAGAAAGAGAGTATTGTGTGTGAATGTGAGTGTTGGTGTTGTGTAGTAGGAGGAGGAGGAGGCGTTGTAGGACTAGGAGGAGTGTGAGTTGTAGAGTAGTTGTAGAGTTGTCGAGGAGGAGCCTTTTGTTTTGTTGGTTTGTTTGTTAGCTTTGTAGTTGTTGTTGTTGTTGCCTTTTGGCTGCTGCGTAGTAGCCTCGCCCTTTTGCTGTCACGCCTTTCATCTCCTTTTGTTGTCCTTCTGTCTACCAGGAAGGACACTTCACTCCCATTCCTCGAGTCCCCAAACATTAACCCTTTTTTCCCTTCTTTTAATTAAAAAAAGTGTTTGTTGGGGTTGGGTTTGTTGGAATATCTATCCATCTACGCTTCTTTTTCCTTTAATGATTATCACATGTATATATATATATATATATATATATGTGTGTGTGTGTGTGAATGGACTTTATTTTGGGGTTGAATTTGGGATTGGGTGGTATTATGTTTTTTTGTATTTTAGGATTTGTTGTCGTGACATGAGGTTATATTCTTATTATAGAATCATTTGGTAGTTTAAAACCACTTGAGATTAGGTAGGTCAGGTTTGCACTACTTTTATAATAAAAGTTAGGGCCTTTTGAAACTAACGAGGTTCAAGCACAATTGTTTGTTTGTTTTGTTTTGTTTTTTTTGTTCTTTGATTTCTTTTTTATTTTTTCTTTCTCTCTTTTTATTATAGAAGTATATACATTTCAAAAAAAATCTTACACTTAAAAGCTATTTTTGGTTTTATTATTTTTATTACTGTGTGTAGTTTATGATATTCAGTAAACTAAATTATTATTTTAAATTATAACAAGCTTCAAAACCATATTCTATATTTTTTTCTAAGTCAGGTCTTAATCAAGTAAAGTAAACATATCTAAAGTAATATTCTGTTTTTATTTCTGTTTTTAAAATCATTTATTTCTTGTGTGAATATATGTATAAATAAATTCATATATAATAAAGTGGGCCAAATTCCTATTTTTATGCAAACAGTCAAAAATAAAATCACAAAAATTTAAAATTTTGGCATCCACAAAAATACAGCAAAATCTTATATCAGAAAATAAATAATTATGAAGTTACCATAAATAACACTTTGATTGTTTATAAATTTTAAAATACTTAATAAAATACTTATTTATAGATTGAGGATATAACTTTGAGACAAAAAGAACTAAAAATCTATACATGAATAATTTTGGTCCTTAAAAAAAAAAAAAAAAAAAAAAAAATTGTTAAAATTAACACTTTAACTTTATAATAGCTAATTATTTAATAAATAAATAAATAAAAATACTAAATTGAATAATTTAAATCTTAAATTAATCCACTTTATTTTTATGATTTAATTCTTGTGGCTATTTCAATTTGAGAATAGAAAAATCTATAAATTTAGTAAACAAAAACAAAAATGAATCCAAGATACTCCTTGAAGAGAAGGGTTTTAAGGTCTCTCTTGCATCACTTTGTCTTAGCTCTAGTTCTAAAGCACTCTAGAATATCCAATTCTAACACACAAAATGTAGGAACATATCTTCATCCAATGTCATAAACATACATATTTATTTAAAAAAGAAGTGCTAGATAGAAGGTAAATGTAGGTAGATTTGTAGTTTATGATATTCTTAGAAGCTTCATAGATGCATATTTGACTTTATACATGTTTATAGTTGATTGGTAGGTTAGAAACTTGGCCATCAAGTTAGTCATATGTCACACAAAAAGATTGCTTGTGGTACAAGCTAATTATATAGTATACATATAGGAAATTTGTCTTGTAAGATACATGTTTTGCAAATTAAACACGTTTTGGAGGTCCTATAGGATGTTACTACATACCTCCTAGTTAGAAAGTATATATGGAGGTAAGAGTGAAGCCTTCTTCACTCTTGTCAATGCATTTTTGATCTTTAGTCTTGTTTCAAGACTTTTTAATTTTTTTGTCTTTAGTAATAGCCATTTTTAGTTTAATATGTTACCATCTTTGAGTG